TTTTATGTAAGTACATAGTAGTTAAGGCCACTTAATATAAAGTGGGACCCAGCTTACTGTACATTACCAGACATATTACATGATTTATGATATAAAGATTTACTTTCACAGCCGCCTTTGATCATATTTACCAAGGGTGCCAATAATTCTGACCACGACTGTAGATGACATAATGAACGAAATTGTACAGTCACAGTATCTCTTGTCATAATATGTCAGCTTATATAGCCAAATATTCACATTAAATTTCTGTCTTGCAAAATTCCAGTATTTACGGAGTTTTACATGTCCCAGAGGGGTACTTTTTCTACTTCCGAAAAAGACAGGAAAGAAATGAATGTGCGATTGGTCGCGTGCAACAGTTGCCTGATGTTTCGGTTCTGTGCCCATGGACACGCTTACTATTGTTTTACGTTATTTTTATTTATTAAGAAGCCTTTGTTGCTTGTAAAGCTTTGAAATCACAATGGATTCTGTGGCAAGGTTAAATGATTAATACATTTCTATTGTTGTGTAAGCCCAAAAAAGATTACCCCTTCCCTGTCCTCAGAGACTGCTTTACCAGCACTTGTGCATCACATGGGTGGACGGGAAGCACAGGCAGTCATGTACCAGCCCCAGAGTAGGGAATTCCGCATATTATTGCCAACGCTTACTGGGCAGCGACAGGATTTCCTCTCTACAAAAGACAGTGCACAAGTAAATTGAATTACATCTGTAAAAAAAATAATAAAAAAATCAAACTTAAGCATCATCTGACTTCATAAGTTCCAGCTTTTTAACATCCACCAGGGACCAGTGACACATTATGTTTGCTGAACAGTTTGAGGTCACAATGTTTTGCAACACAATGCTGATATTATTTATAGTTCTCCAGAAGTCAGCTTTCCATGAAAGCCCACACATCATTTCAGTTTAATTTCAGAGTGTTTTTGTCTTTCATCTTATTCAACATTTAAATCTATCATATTTGTGCAGGCTTCTTTGCTCTGAACCTTCTCTTGTTCCCTTTCAGTCGGTCACTCCGAGTCACGTCAGTGACCGACGAATTGGGATATCGCTTCGATAGACCAATCTACTTTGAGTGTAAACTAAACAAGCCAATGCACATTGGCATGCAATTATTGCATCCAGCTGCCGCTGATCACAGCGTGAGTATAATAAGGCAGCAGGTGCAATGCATACCAGCTTTTTGCTGAGGGGCCGAGCGACAACATCGTTCTGCTCTATATTCATTTCAAGAACTACGAGTTCAGCATGCTCTCGGAAGCTTTCTGTGTTGATGTCCACGCTTGTGGTCCAGGAGCGCCATCTCTGGCTGTGTCTGGCCGACAAGGTTCGGTTCCTCAATTCCCCTGTGTCCCAGACCGGCCTCTTCGGTGACGCAGTCGAGAGCTTTGCCCAGCAGTTCTTGGCTGCCCAAAAGCAGACTGAGGCGATCTGACACATCCTGCCCCGGCAGGCAGCTGCTGCATCCACCCGTCCGCCGGCTGCAGCGCCCCAACCTGCTCGTCGCCGAGAGCGGGCCCCCACGTCCGCCCCCGCTCCCACGCCACATCTGCAGCAGCCTTCAGCAAAGCGGCGTCGTCGAGCCGGGCATGGGCGGGCCGCCCCGCATGTCCAGGCCCCCGTCAAACCTGGTGGCAAGCAGAGAAGCAAGCGGCCCTGAGACAGGCGACCCAGAGATGGAGGGATCTACTCTTCGGGAGATGGTGAACGCACCACTCCCTCCCCCGGAGGAGGGCCGGGGGGAGG